TTGCTTAGAAAGGCAAAAGGAATTGCAGAATGAATCTTACTACACTTACACATCTTGGTACACAACTCTTTCACATGCGTGTGGATCCCACAATGTGAGTCTCATTGTGGACCCTACACACATGTGAGAGAGTTGTGTACCAAATATGTACAAGTAACATTTTTGATTGCAGAATAATGGGTTATAAAGAGACGAAGAGCGGCTTTGTTTGGCCAACACTTTGTACTCAAAAAAAGGCCCCGCCACTATCCCAAAATTTTGAAATTTAATGATATTTTAATTGGGAAGAATGGCCCATTTCTCACGCTCCCATCATATCCATTGATCCTTAGTCATTTTCATTGTCTCGTAAAGATTGTTTAGGAATCATTCTTTAAAAGTGTTTTTCACGAATGTGCAGTTTAAAAATAGGAAAAAAAATTATGAAGAAATGTGAAAATAACTTTTTTTTTTTTCCTTTTTTAAATGTGGTTTTAAAAATAAGTATGAGAAAAAAGTGATTCTAAAAGAATCAAAATCAAATAAAGACTTAATTTTTCATGTTTTGGTGATTTTACGATGTGGATAAATAAATGCCGATGGATTTGGCTAACTGTGAATTGGAAATCGAACACAAATAAAGTAAAAAGATAAAGAGCTAAAGCAATTAAACCAGCTTGAATAAGATATCAAAAGGTACTTTTATTTAGAAGAGCCATCCCCCTCGTCTCTACAAGCACACACACGAACACAAGTAAGTATACATGTATGATCACGAGTAAAATACATTGATTTTTAACAACGTATGACATAAACGGGATCGATCACTATATATATATATATATATATATAAACAATAACTAAAAAAATAATCGACCTAATGTCGATTCATATGGTTCCCGATCGAGAGGCTTGGTTTACTTTTTATTTTCCAACTTTTGATTATATAATTTTTTTCATAACTCATTTTGTTAGTAATGCCACGACGCCATCAAAATAAATGAGATTTTTTTAAAGAAATTGACCAAGTAAAATGACTCGATAATTTTCATTTGAAAGGATTTTTACCAGTGTTCTAGCTCTAATTTAAACCAATCGAATCTTTAAACATTATTTTAATACTAAGTGATTTACGATTTTCTCATTAAGTAACAATAAGTTTAAAGAATAAATTATCAACTTATTGTCATTGTCTCATTGGAAAAAAAAAATTCAAATAACTGCAATGGATTTGGTATTGTGGATTTGAAAGGGACAAGTCTAATTCAATTTAGGGCACAAAAACGAAAATGAATAATTCTCCTTGTACATAATGATTTATTTACAGTTGATGTGTCCAAAAAAGAGCGGGTACGTTTTTTTTTTTTTTATTTGGTTGAAGAAATTCCGATCGATCATATCTCACTGCATCATGTATATGTACAACTGAGGTAAATATTCCAACTACTACCTTGTCGGCGACGAGGCAAGAAAGTACTAGTTCACATGTAGTTGACAAAAATTAGACGAAGTTACCCAATTGAAATCAAATTAAAGTATAGTTACCTGATTGACACGAAGTACGAAAATATTAGACATTCTAAAACTATTTTCTTCTCAAAATACCATATTAACAGCCCCAAACTAATTAAAAATCAATAAAAACTCTCAACCACCCCATGAAAATTAAAACCAATAATCTATTGCAAGAAAACTCGTGAAAATATATTAATGGCTAATTATATTATGATCATACACTAACAAGGCAAGATATTGAATCTAAGATATATATATATATACAGAAATGATCTAATGAGCACCGGTGCTCATCTTATCCTAAACACCGATGAGTTGGCACATTAATTCATTGGTGGAAAAAGATTTTGTGAGTTCCAATCTACCAATGAATTAATGTGCCAACTCATTGGTGCTTAGAATAAGATGAGCACCGGTGCTCATTAGATCATTTCTGTATATATATATATATATAAATGATTCCCTTTATCTCTACACAAAGATACGATAGTTTTGACTAATATACAAATTGTATTAATAATTTTGCTCGAAAAACAAAAATGTATCAATAACCAAGTATCGAATTTTTTTAATGTCGATTATCAAATTTAATTAAACGTAAAAGTGTAACCAGCTAGATTGGTGTTCTATCACTATTGGAGCTAGATAGTATTATTAAAATTTTTTTTCATAGTGTAACACTTATTTGGATTTCAATTATTAAGGCCCCGTTTGATTTATATTAAAATTATAATTCATTTTTCTCTCTTTTTTATCAACCACACGTTTTCCAATAAAATAATGTTACATGTAAACTCAATTTTTTTTTTTAACCACATAGTTTTCAAAAAATACTAGTTCAAAAATTAAAATAGCAAATAGTGGAGGCAAAATGGGGGCTAATTATTGTCTAGTAGGTGAAGAGTCAAGAAATGAAACTCGTTTGATACAAAATTGTTTTGAAAATTATGAAAGGTAATTTTTTGAAAAACATGATGTTAAAAAATAGAGAAAATTTATAAATTCACATACAAAATTATTTTATTGTGATAATGCATGACTAAAAATAAATTTTAAAAAATCTCTAGGGAATAGTTCCCATTGAATTCAATGTTGGATGGAAATTTTCAAATTTTCCTGTTATTTTTTTTCAATCGCAACAATTTAAATAATCGAAACATGGTAGGAAAATGCAAAATAACATTAATTCAAGAAACAAAAATATCGCACACTCTAAGTCCATATTTGGTAGAGATTTATTAAAATTTATTCTATAAAAATTCATTTTTAATTACACATTCTTTTAGTAAAATAATTTTGTACGTGAACTCGTAACTTCTTTTTTACTTTTTAACCATAAAATATCCACTGAAATCATTTTTCACAAAATCTATTCGAAAAAACTCTTAAGAATATTTCTTCCCAAATAGTAATACTACAACAAACAATTGAAAATAAATGGAAATCAAAAGTCATTTCCACCAATATTAACTCCCACAAACTAAGGATCAATTTTAAACAACTATCAATCAACCCATAAAAATGTTAACAAATAACCTAATCCAAGTAAAAAAAAAAAAAAAAACTAGATTAATATTAATAATTTTATAATCATACCTTAAAATTTGAAAAAAAAAATTCTTAATTTTTGAAACATTTGGAAGGAAGCCACGTGGCTCAATACCCGATTAACAAATCGGGGGACAAAATTGGAAATTACAAAATGGAAACCGCATTTATTTTTAGAAATTAGAAGTTTTGAACTGTGCCAGAATCCCGCTCTCACAGTCTCACCCTACTCCTATGTAGACACTATTATATGCACCTTTCATTTTTCTCTCTCTCACCTTCACTCTCAGTCACTCACTTTCTCTCTCTATATAGATACGCACATCCGGTTGTATCTACACACCTTTGGATAAAGAATCCGGGTGAAATGAATCCCAATTGCTGTGTGCTGAGCTCTTGATGTCAATGCAGAGTGAGCTCAGTTCTAATTTCATATGTATTGTTGTGTGCTTGCTGTAATTTTGTTGTTTGAGCTTCATATGTGAAAATTTCCAAGATTTTGCTTAGATCTGTAGAGCTAAGACGAGGGTTTGTTCTATATCTGTTTTTATCAGTCCCCATTTTAATAATTTTTCATGTAAAGTTTGTGTCGTTTAAGTGGCAAATATATGTGTTGGAAAAAAATTAATTCTTAAAAGCTTCCGAGATTACAATTTTTTGAGGATTATTTTTTTATTTATCTGGATTGATTCTTGGAGAACTTTGAAAGTCGATTGAATTTTTGAAGTGACCGGGCATCTGCATTATTTGAAATTCAAAATTTTCATTTTCATTTTCTTTTTTTTTTCCCCCAAAATTATGTGATTTTAATTATATAAGTGGGAAATTTCTTATTGCCGGAGCTTTTTACGTTAGCGTGAGTCAAGCTGCAGTTTTCAAAGCTCATGGTCCAACACCTCAGATGTAACAATGGCTTTTGCTCTTGGCTTCCTCTATTTCCCCTGCAGGGATTTGTGGAATAATGAAATATTCAAACATTTCATCGTTCTCCAACACTCAATGTTGACTTTGAGCTAAAAGAATTCTTTATTTTGGTAATTTGTTGTATTGTTTGATTGAATGTTGATAAGAATTGTGGCTTGACTTTGTGTTTGACTATAAGCTGTTTGTCTGTGAATTACATTGTAATTACACTTGAACATAAAAGAGGAAAGGAGAACGGGGAAGGTGCTTTTGGGTGAACAAGCGGTTTTGTTTAGAACTGTTGCAACTATTGGGCATACTAATGCCAACAAGCTGAGTGATATTGTCATATATTTATCAGTTTTCCTTTTTATGATGAAATGTGTCGTGGGATCTAGCATCAGATAGACAAAACTTGCTAAGTTCCTGATAAATGGTTCCAATTAGATTAGTTAGTCATTGCTTCCTCGTGTTCAACTTTTTGAGTTTGCTCGTTTTTCTATTATAGAAACTTAACAAGGCACTTTCTAGTTCCTGATGTCTGTATCGTTCAATTTGTTTTAGTAGCTTACACTCCAATAAGACAGGGGGAAGACAGGTGCACAAAGCAATACTAAACAAGTTAAAAAAGTCCTTTCCATCCCCTCTATCTTGTTAGTCATGCCTAAATGTAGAATGGGTTAGAAATCCATGCTCTAACTGATCCATTTATTTTTCCCTTCAAAAGCTATAACTGATTTATTTTTTCATAGAAACATAGTGCTAAGTCCAGGGCGTAGAACAAGCATCCTCAGTAGAATTGAAATTATGTCAATAAAATTTTACTGACGCCCTTGAATTTATAGGAGCACATCACCTTATAGTGAGCATAATGTTGAAGAATTCATGGACAACCCTAAAAGCTTTACTATGTTGAGCTTTACGGTTCGTTTTGTCAGGACAGTCTTGTTTATTGTAATTTCTGCGTAAACATAGTTTCTTCTGTGTATATTGTTTGTCTTAATTATAAATTTGAAATAGTTGCAGCTTTAATGGAGGCATACTAGTTTTGTTCTATGAACCGTCGTCCTACGAGGCACGCAACTATGAACAAAGAGAATAGATCTTCGGAAGTTGTAGGTCCTGCAGTGCGAATCACACGAGCAAGGGCTAAAGCCTTGGGCTCATCAGGAGGATTGCCACCTTTGCATCCCTCAACCAAACAGGACGGTAAAATGGTTTTGAAAACGAACTCCAAAAGAGCAGCGTCTGACGAGAACAAACCTGCTGCAAGTTCCTCTGCATTTTCTCAGCATAAGAAAAGGGCAATTCTTAAAGAAGTAACTAACGTACTGTGTGAAAATTCATACAAAAATTGCATCAACGCAACAAAAGTTCAGGTAAGAGTGTAAGACTATAATCATCATTTTGATGATAAATATAAAGTCAGGCTCCTTTTTCACAACTCTCCTTTACGCTTGTTATATCTCAAGAATTGTATGCGGGGGAGATTCAATTTTTCAATATTTGTAGAATGCTGTTTTTGAACTGAAAGTTTGGATTTCTCTCCCAAACTCACTGAATGTTGATGTTCCTCCTTGTCAGTTTAGCAAACTGGATAGAAAAGGCACTGTGAAAAAAAATGCAAGGGTGGCACATGCTGTTTCTGTTAAAGAGTCTCAGGTTCCAGAGGATAGAAGAGAAAACATAGCTGAAGAGATTAACACAGTAAATGTGGAGGAATCACAAGATATTTGTTTACCCATAAATGTAAAAGAGTTAGGAACTGTTCAACCAAGTGAATATCTCACAACAGATAAACAAAATTCTACTAAGCGCAATCCATGGTGGAGTCAATTGAAGCGAGGTTAGATTTTATTTTCTCTTTTGCATGAAACTGCAATGTATTTATAACACACCTTTTTCTTGTTGCCGCACAAATGATTACATTTTGATTTTGTTTGAGTGAAAGTGATGACTAAATGAGTGACATCTAATGCCTGCATTACTGCTAATAACAGAATGACGTTATGAGGCTTCTTTGTAACAAGTTATGATAATTTCAACTCTAAAATCTAATCTCTCCTTTTGCAATATGTTTGGGGGAGATGTTAAAATCATCTACTCACATAAGTCTCTTCAAGCTTATTTGGTACTTACCCAATTATCAAGAACAAGAGGCTCCTTAGAAAGATAATATAGATATACTTCACTTCCAAATAAAATAGCTATCAATCAAAATCCAGTAGAGTTACTTGCAATGATATGAAAACATGTTTTTTTTAAAACAGTTGATACATCCGATGGACATTTTTTTTGTCTTCTGTCCTTGTTTATGTGTTCACATGAATTTCATTCAAATGTATGATGCGTTGATGAAATGAGAATATTTGGTAGCTAATCCTTCCTCGATTCATACTTTTGAGTTTTGATCAACCTTCTCATTCGTAGTCTTTAGTACATCAAGCAAGTTTGTCTGACAGGACTCATGTTGTACAATGCAACCTGGATTGTTCTGTAGTCCTTTCTATCGAATGTATTCCTGAATGTGTTTAAATTATCTTTAGATATCTTGGATTACACGTTCTCTGTTGCTAATTGTTTTCTTCTGGGTGTATCATTTTCCCTGTAAATGTATCATCCAGGAGACAGCACACTCTGGCATACACAAGAAAACTTGGATAATGCAGGCATTATGGACATAGATTCAAAACACAAGGATCCACAGATGTGCAGCCTGTATGCCCCTGATATATATAGAAATTTTCACACAACAGAGGTTTGTAGGCTGTATATTTGTTATTTTATGTTCTTTCTATCTCTCGTAGTTCTAATGCCTAAATTTATCCACTCAGCACTTAGCACCTTACTACATAGTAATCTCAAAAGCGTTGGAAACTTTAGCTTTTTGTCAGTTCTATATTCCATGTCATGTTATCAAATTCACTTCAGAATGGATTATTTCCACTGCAAATTTAAATTTTATGATCACTTTGAGAGGAGTTCAAAACCTTAATTGTTTCTCCAGATCAATCAACTGAACTGTTTTCTGCAGAAATGCTTTTCGTTTCATGTTAACTCAGGCGAATTTTCTTCACTCTCAGCTTGACAGGAGGCCTTCTGGCAATTATATGGAGAAGCTGCAGCGAGACATCAGCCCGGGCATGCGGGGGATACTGATTGATTGGCTTGTGGAGGTTAGCACATACAGAGTCAAATTTGGACACATGAGATTATAATGTCCTTTCCTAGTGGAAACCATCATTCTTACAAAGATACCTCAGAACTGTTTGGAATTCATGTTTCTCTTTTCTAGGACATTAAATAGCATTATAGTTATTACTCCAAAATAGCAAGTTTTTGCTCTTGTTCTCAAGAAATCATCATTTTTTATTCTTTTCCTCACTCGTAAATATACTAAATCAAGTAGGCGTTGCACTCTCCAATTCTACCTTTTTGACTTTGTTTGAGCAATGCACTGTTATCTTGAATTTTTATTATAATTCTAAGTTTCAAACTTATGACATTCAAGAATCTTATTCCTCTAAGAAAAGCTGGATATATTGGTTTTTGTTCAAGTATTCATAATATATTTCTTTTCTTAGTTTTTGTATTATGTTGTGTGTATATCTCCTCTATTTCAGGTTTCTGAAGAGTATAGGCTCGTCCCAGACACACTTTACCTTACTGTAAATCTTCTTGATCGGTTCTTGTCTGAAAACTACATCGAGAAGCAAAAATTGCAACTCCTTGGTGTAACCTGCATGCTAATTGCTTCGTAAGTTTGCTTTCTTTCTTTTTTTATTAAATTGGGGAAGGGGATGGGGATGGTGGGGATTGAACTGCCACATTCCATGTGGGAAGTTCCCGGTGGTGCCACTACCCAAGTGGTCTTAAATTTCCATTCTTTACAAGAAGTATAGATCCTTAAATTTTTCTTGCTTATATCTTTCTGGGTTTTGGTTTGAAGAAAATATGAAGAAATCTGTGCACCTCGTGTTGATGAGTTTTGCTTTATCACGGACAATACCTATGCAAAAGAAGAGGTATATCTTTCTCTCTTTTGAAAGGTTATTTCCACCGTATACCGAGTTAATGTTAAGGACAATGTTCAGTTTAGAGGCTGATATAGATGTTTCAGTTTGGTTCTTTGTTTGTATAGCAGCATTTCCTTGATATAAATCTCAATAAACTCAGTGCCTAAAAAGTATTCATGCACTTGACCCTAAAATAAACTTGTGCTCTCTCCATCAGGAAAAGTCTTTATTTGCACACGCAGAACTCACTTGTGGTTACGTGACAGGTAGTGAAAATGGAAAGTTGCGTTTTGAATTTTTTGGGTTTTCAGTTATCTGTTCCCACTACAAAGAAGTTCCTTAGGTACTTGCCATATCTACAATCTGTGTCATTTTCAATGAAATGCAATCTTGTTAAGTTCAGGATCTCTTACTTTTGCACTGTCCCTTTCTGTTCCGCAGGAGATTCATTCAAGCAGCACAGGTTTCGTACGAGGTAGACTTTATGTAGTTCTTTCTGTTTTTTGTACTAGGAAGAAACCATTCTGACAAAATAATTTTCCCCTTATCCAGGTTCCATCTGTTGAATTGGAATTCTTGGCAAATTATTTAGCAGAGTTAACTCTAACTGAGTACAGTTTCCTAGAGTTTCTTCCATCTCTTGTTGCCGCATCTGCTGTATTTCTAGCCAGATGGACACTAGATCAAATATTCCATCCATGGGTTTGCATCTTTTATGCCTCTTGATCTTCCCTTTCTGATAGCATTCAAACCCAAAATGATCGCGTAGTTTTTGCAGAATTCGACTCTGGAGCATTACACCAACTACAAGGCCTCGGAGATGAAAACCACTGTTCTCGCATTGCAAGACTTGCAGCTAAATACTCATGGATGCAAGTTGCACGCAATACGTGAAAAATATAAACAGTCTAAGGTAATGGCTTTTACAGTATCCCATTCCTTTCACTTTTCCACCTTGATAGCAATACACTAATGGCATGTTTGGTAATCAACAAAAAAAGTTAAATCTTATTTGTTATAATGTCCAGTTATGGGTACCAAACATGCTCTCTTAATGTTGATTATAACATCTACTAATGAAATTATGCTATCCATGACAGTTCAAGTGTGTGTCAACTCTCCGTTCTCCCAAATCCGTTGGATCACTTTTCTAGCCTAACCAATTCTCCTAGTCGATGACCAGATGCTATAGCTACTACTGACATTTTACTTCTCTGAGATGCTCTCATACCAATACTAGAATCCTCAAGTCTTCATTATACACTCTCATGAATACTGATGTTGGGAAAATGCTCAGTACATCAACTGATACATAGCCGGAGAGCGTGGTGCGCACTTTCATTCTTTCTTCATTCATCTTGCAACCTTGTACTATTGTACAGTTCAATTCAGTTCTGATGGCACTGGAGCATCTACGTAAAAGGAAATGTAAAGGAAAGAAGGATGTGGGCTAGTTGATTTGTAAGAGGTGTTTTTTTAGCTTATTTTAGCGGACTCAAACCTTGATAATTTCTAGTAACTTATTCAAGACCAGCTACTTGCTGACTGTTAGATCTAGTTATTTAAAGATCTTTTCTTAAATACTTAAAATGTTGTGTAACTTTCTAATTTATCAATGAAATAAGTTATTTTTAATACTTGTTTCATGTGTATTAGACAAATATCTCAATTTTTTTATACGAGTGTGTCTGGCTAAGATTTTAAGTGGCATATTTGCAGTTATATTTTGGTGGTAAGCACAAGCTTAGTGAGCTGAGAAGCACGTGCTTAAAAGCTTAGCCAAACATGCTCGACTTGGCTAAAAATTTGCTTCTAATATCCTCAAACGCAACAGAAGGGCCTCAATATAACTCCATTCTTTACAGGCAAGAAAAAAGAAGCTCTTGGAACAATCTGCATTGCTTGAAAAAAGGACAAATTCTTGTTCGCGCTTGTTAAACATGTGACCAAGCACAAGTGACACATTTTATCTTGTCCTTTAATCTTGTCCGATCTTTATCGAGTCACATGCAACCCTCTCTTCTTAGGGTGTGAAAATGTCTAGCAGGAAATAAAGAGATGCTAGATACTTCTTGTAACTGCTTCTTTACAAGGAAGCCCGGAGTCTTTATTAATAATTGGAAAGTGAAATTGCACAAAATGTCCCTAAAGCATTTTGAAAATTTTCCAATTCTGAAAACATTTTCCAAAATGGCAACTATTAAAATATTTTGCTTACAGTCTTTTTAAAGAGTAATGACTAATGATGATTGAACATGTTATGGGTCAATATATGAAAGCGACACGTGGCACCGTATTTTAGCGGTGGGACCAGCTTAATTAAATCAAGACATATTATTCCTAGCCTCAGAGGTGAATTCCGAGGCCGTCACTGTTATTCCGAGGTCACTGCTGCTAACGATAAGCCACGGTTCGGTGAACATACATCGTTCGAGGCTTCTTAGCAGCTATTGAAGACCCACATGTGAAGATCCGGCTGATCCGCTTATGATGAAGATTTTTTGTGAATGATTGACGTGACTCTTATGTAAAGTTTATTTGTGTTTTGTTTTGTCTTGTCAATGTAAGAGCATTTAATGCTTTGTAAAGTTAGGAGAGTCAATTTGATGGCTAGGATTTGATGTCTTGGCCGAGGAGATGAGACCACGTGTAAATTGATCCAAAGGTCACCATTTGAATTGTAGCACTATAAATACCCCTACCATGTAACACAATAAAGACTAATGCAATTTTAAAGAACAAACTGAATATTTGGAGCAACATCTCTCTCTTCAAACGGTGATTTTTAAAGCGTATTTTCTACTACAAATCGCCCTTTATCGATTGGTTTCTCATACAATCGTATTATTTCATCTTTGCCGGTAGCCTGAACGGAAACGTCTCTTGCCTTTGAGCCACTTCCACGCTCTTTCCCTGGAGCCATATTGACCGTTGATTGGCATTAGCGTGTTGGACCAAGCTCGCGTGTGCATGAGTGAGTCCGGCATCTGTTGGCAACATTTTTTGGGGTCAACAGAACATGCTCAAAGATAGGGAAAAAAAGCACATATTTGGATTTTTTTTTTTAAATGTCCAATCATGCGTCGACAAATGTCTCCCCTATTTTTGAGCCTATTTTGAATTTGTTTGTGTAGCATATATTTTTTTTTAGAACTAGTGATTTGACAACTTTTTAATCCATACACACTTTTACATGTATAAACGGTTGGGTTACGTGTAGATAATAGGTTTGCATAATAATTTACATATACATTATGTGGTTAGATATAATTGGGTTAAAATTTTTTCAATCAAATAAAAAAAAAAGAAAAAGAAAAAAAAGTCTTCGTTACTTTGGTTACCTCGTCTGTATATAAACTATTATACAACTGTTAGTGTATAAATAACATTATTCCTCTTTAAATGAGTGAAAAAGTTTCTCTCTCTTCACTTGTGAGCACATCTCTTGAAAGTTCCATATACGTATTCTTCTCTCAAAGAAATGAAAGAATCATCTGCAACCGAACTTTCATTTCCTCCGGTTAAGCCACTACCGCTTCCTCCTTTCGTCTTTCTGCAATCAAAATGAGTGATTATCTAAGGTATTTTATATATTTCGGTTGTTCAATATTGTTGGTGTAATACACTCGAATTACAATGATTTATATCGTAACTATGACATCGCTATCCTACATGGCAATTAAGGATAGACAAGACACTTTAAAAATGGGTTCGACACAGATTTTTTCACGAGAGTGTCGACACTAGTGTCGGCACCAACTACCCAGTAGCTATCACGCCTAAATCTCATTGGCAAGGTGAAAATAAAGATATTCTGTGATTTTTGCTTACGTGTGTTGACTATTAAAGATGACGTGACAAGTTTAAATCAACTTAAGATGAATTTAATCGGGCAATGACTGTAATATTGTAAAAGAAAGGGGTAAATCTTATTGGAAATGGTTTTGAAAGTGCATTACATAATATTGAATTAGTCGGCCATTTGTAGGGGACTATTGTCACTATTTATAGGCCTTTAACCAAGAATTCGCTGTCGTATGTCACAACAAGCTACAATGCATTCGTGTGCTACCTATTTGAAGGGATTTGATTGGTCGGTGGTAGAGGTGTAGACATCCGAGGTGCCACTTGTCTCATTTGGTGTGGTTGTAAAGGAAGTGTTGGCGTCATCAAGGGGTAGATTTTCAGTTTGGACAACAATTATGTCTCTCGAAAACTGCAGCCATTGGTCGACATGGCTGTGTATTCACAGGCCAATCTCACACTTTTTGTGAACTTCAGTCATTTTTTGAACATAGGTATGTGGTCATGCTTGAGGTCGACTCCTACCATGTGCATTGTCTCGTGGATAATGATACGTGCGAGTAATACCATGGATGATGACAAGTATTATTTCTTTCTTTACTCGAAAGTATAAGAAAACATAGCGAGATTAATTAAAAGACAGGCAATTTGCATTGTCTTCCAAATTTTTATCATATATATCCAATCTCTTCGAGACGGTAGAACATGTTTGGCTCAGCTTAAAAAGTTTACTCATAAGTCAAAAGGTAAAATAAATAAGTTTTTAATTGATTTCTTCCTTTTGTGTTTTTGGTTCTTCATAAAATGATATTAACTGTCCTAATTACAATTCACAATAAGCTGGAAGGAACACGCTAATATAAAGAGAGAGAGAACCATACAACATATTAAGTTCGTGCTTGGTAGTGCTTATGAGCTGTGAATCTTATTGATTGTATATAAAATATGTGACTACTAAGTTGTGAATCAAACTAATACGTGGATAAAAGTATTTATTTGATCAGGTTAAGTTAAAATTTAAGCTTCGCCAACATGCATCAATATAAACAAACCAAAAAAGGCAAAAATTAATCCAAAAAAAGGATGAAAAAGGAAAATGCGCATTCAATCACTTTGAGGGGAAAAAGATACAGGACCCTTCGCATCAGTTTCAGAGGAAAACAACATAATTAAACAGCATCAGATTAGACTTTGTTATAGCAGGCTATCAATGGATCCTCCAAAACAATCAGTGCATGTTCGGTAGGGACGATTGGATTGCACTGAAACAGCAAGTGATACGAAGAAAGCTTGTTGTCCTGTTCTGTCCAGTCCAGTCCTTTCCAATACTACGTATTGAGCATGCAAGACATCCATAACCATCCCAACTCTTATGGTTCCCCCAACAACCAAACTAGGTGAGTGCACACACAAAAAAAAAATAGAAAAAAGAAACATTTCGGAGTGCTCAAGGAGTTACAAGAACTGCAGTGTTTCCAGCTATTGGCTGGCGACTAGCAGCATTCTCCAAGAGCTCCCACGCTTCCTTCCGCTTCTTGACTGTGAAGTTTAACTTTTCTTGTTCCTCATTGTAACGGGAAAAGCAAGAAAGGACCAGAGCATCATCCATTTCTGAGAACATCTTTTTTACGTTTAAGGTTAAGTTGAGCACAGCCTGGTTCCAGTGGTTTTGAGCATTGCTTTCTAAAGCCGGGAGTACAATGGGCAGAATTACATGCCGGTTATGTGCAATTAAATTGATAACTTGGTCATTGTTCCATAGGAACAGAGCCCTTTCGGCTACCTGGTACAGACAAGATCAAACGACTATATTAAAAGTCAGTTGTTCCTTAATTAGCAAGCCACCTTATTTTCATCATATACAAATTTGTGCTCATATTACAAAGACTAAAAGCAATTTAGCCCTGTTTGACAACCATTATTTGTCAAAAACAACGTTTTGAATAGTGATTCTTAGGCGAATGTGGGGTGAAAAAGTAGGGAAAAGTTTTGAGTTTGCATGCTAAATATTTTATTGTATGAATATGTGCTTGAAAATAAATACGTAGAAAAAAGAGTTTTCAAATAATGGTTGTCAAACAAAGGCTTAGTACTGAGCATATATAGTCAATTTCATCATCTAAGGACAGAAACAGCACATCTTGCGAAAGAGTTCAAATGATGGTCAGCAAACCAAAATTCATCATTTAAGCGTATAAAAATGTTTCAAAGAGCAAAAGACTAAGAAAAATCCAGATTGATTAATCTCCTCCAGATCCCTGTGCACAAGCAATAGGTTCCGTTTTAGCTTTTTCCCATATGCGCATCTTTTTGAGATGGATTGAGGTGGTTGGAAGCCATATGTAGGTATGTAGAAAGAAAATGGAAACAGAAATTAATTCCCTTAGTAAGATGAGTACAACTCAATCCAGCACACATACTTCATTCAGCTATACCCTCTTTGTTCATGCTCATAACAACCACTAATATGATGGATTACAGGTCTAGAGACTAAAAATACCTATAATAAAAAGAAATGGATGCACAGATCCTAATGGTGAATGCAGGACCTCATGCACACATCCTGTAGTCTGAGGAATAATAAAACTGTAGAAGTGTAAAGTTGAGGGACTCATAACATAAAGTAAATGAGGACAAACAGCATAAAGAATGCCAATCCCAGTCATAACCTCTTGATCTCGACTTCCAATAAATGCACGAAGATGTTCCATTGTCTTAATATATAGTTAACAACGATGCCAAAATCAAACAAGTAAATGCATCCATGTCATAAGTTCTTTAAAATAAAAATGTTATTTCATGCCCACTAATCACATTTAACACTATCCTTTTTTTTTGATAGGTACATTTAACACTATCCTTTAGCAGCCAAATAGCTTTGACAGCAATAAAGATGTCAAGATTTAGATTCTAAGGAAAATAATTAGTCCTTCATCAATCAATGAAAATGACCAAAAAAGTAAATGTTCATCCATTGGTATTCATGGTACTTCCTAAAAGATGCAGATATATTGACAAGTCCAACATATATGGATAACTACATAAATCCAAGAAAAGGATCACAGGTGTCATATCTAAAACATATTCCACAACTGGAAATATACTGGTTAACAGAAAAGGGTAAGTTACCTGAAAATGGTAGCTATTGATACATTGTCCAATCCGCCAGAATAATGGAACCATGACTTTTTGGAACTCAGCCATGTTAATGGCTTCCAGAATCTCCTCCAACTCACCTAAGAACATTACCTCCTTCTGACTATTTGTGATTGGCCAGTATTTCAATAGACCCTTAATCACACCACCGGCCAACTTTGGCTCTTTCTCTATAAACTGTGTCACACAATATGACAGCTGCTGAAAGTAAACCCCCAGCGACTTTGGCTTGTGCAGCGGAATCAATGCCCTCCAAAGAAAAATCTTGTGCTCCTCCTTCAACGGCAAAGCAAATCCAGTAATCACACTCCCAAAAATTTCCAATAACTCTGCAATCCCATTATGCTTCTCGGTCTCAAACACAAATCTGTAGAACACATGACTCATACTCTTCCTTACAAATGGCCGGTGAACCATAAACTTCCCATAAATCCTATGCAGAATTGCCTTCAGACAATCCCTTTCCCTGGGATCCTCAGATTGAAACAAGTCAATAGTCCTTAAAATAAAGGAATGGTTTATATACTTCTTTGCGACCTTTGCTTCCAGCGAAGGTGAAGTCACAAACTTGAGCAAGAAATCATATACAATTTGCAAGTGAGACCACGCAGGATCAAATGTTGGCTCGGAGTCATTGTCGTTTTCACCTAAATTGGTGTTACTTGACCGATAACTAGGAGGGAAATCACGAAATAAATTAATGGAGCACATTTTGAATGAAGCTAAAATTGCAGGCTCCGAGAACTTTGTGGAATTCTGCGATACAAAATCAAGAAGCTCAAGCAGTGTGGCTCGTTTGAGCTCCTTTTCTGGGGTGTTTTTCACAGGGTCTGTGAAGTCAAACACCACGCAGCAGAGGCTCAACTTACTGATGAAAAGATTCATTTTTTCAGAGCTTGGTACATCTTTAAATGCCAGCAATGGTTCAATGCCGGCAATCGCACTGGCAGGGAAAACTGCAGCCCGTTTAACGGCAGGGCTAGCAGCATTAGCCCGGCCTGAACCAGGGGATGAGGTATTGATGCCAGAAGTAGGTGTTCTTGCCGAATCCGCATCCAATTTTGAGGATTTGCGAGGGAGTTTACTCAAAATCTGCTTCCACATTCTGAAATCTCTTTTCCTTTTTCAAATTGATGAATTTTTCAAAAAATGGAAACAAATCGAATCGTTGTGTTTTCAAATCAAAGGCATTTGGGAGGAAGGGGCTGGATGAAACCCTGACCCTGGCGAGGAATGCATGGATGACTGAAATTGGGGATCTGGAAAAGAAACCCTAGATTGAGAATGTACTATATATTACAACATAAATCACAAAAAGGTCAGATCTTTAACCAAAGGCTGAACAAAAAAAGTTACTAAAATGCAGTGAAACCCTAGAAACCATCAAATAACCCATTTTTCCAAACTAAAATCAAGAAATTGCAACAATTTTCTTCCTTTACAAAACCCATCTCGTAATACACGCACAAACATGTTAATGAATTTCTGCATCCATGTATGTAATCCTCTACATATATATGTATGTGCGCGTAGATATATAAAGAGAGAAATGATGATGATAGTAATTAGCTTGAACAAACCTAGGATTCTAGAGAGAGAGAAGAAGCTACACAAACACGCGGAGATTGCAGACAGATGTTGGATCGTCAATTATACATAGAATTGTTTCAATATATGTGCATCTACTTGCTTATATGTATACCTACATTGTCTGGGATTTAGAGAGAGAGGTGTGTGTGTGTGTGTTTGTGTCAGAGGTTAATTATAAAAATCTCCATTGATGAAGAGAGATCAATTGCACATTTGCACCAAATGATTGTTCCACTTTTCTGTGTGCAGATCCATGAGACGGGATTATGACATACCCCACTCCCACACCTACATCCAAACCAAACCACAAAAATAAATTTAAATTGAAAATATAATTACTGGATGATTTTATTTTTTTTTTGTTTTTGTTTTTGGAGGAAAATAAACTTATTCATTAATCAAATCGGCAATGACTACATTCGAGATAAATAAAGGCGAAAAATAAGACCATTCAATAGTATCATGAAAAGAATTAGCAGCCTTAGCTTTTGTGTGTGCAACTTGATTGGCCGATCTCCTCATCCAACTGAATTTAATGTTTTGTGAGGAGTCGACACTCTTCAATAAGCAGTCCGAAATAGCAATTGTCGACTTCGTTTTGTTGAAGAGCATTGTAGACCAAAAGAGCATCCATCTCGATGATTTGGACCTCGGGAAATCGAACTTTTAGCCAAGAAAGAACCTCATGAACTCCCAAAACTTTAGCAATAAGTGGATCGATAATCCTTCTAACCGTTATAACTTTAGCCGCAACAAAAGAGCCCAGGTCATCACGTATCACAAGTCCAAGGGCTCTTCACTGGTTCTCAAAAATTGCAGCATCAATGTTGATTTTAAATGAGCCTGCCGCAGGTGGGTACCATTTAGCAAAGTCCAGCGTCTGTGGGTTTCGGATATGTGTTGCTGCTGGTTGATGGACTTCACGCCACTGGTGCAAAAAGATTTTTGTATTTGCTATGACCTTCAACACAGTATGAGAGCGAGATTGCCAAACTACCTCGTTTCGGTTCGTCCAAATGGCCCAGCAAGTCATGCCAATTAGTTCTTGGTCTTGTTTGTTACTTCTTAGCACAAGGTTCAACCAATCTTTGAAGCTATCTGTCAAGGAAGGAGAGGAAGTAATCCCCGTTGCATCCCAAACACTTCGAGCGAACACGCAATGAACCAAGCTATGCAAAACAGATTCATCGTGCTGCAAACATACTGGACAGTGTTTATCAATGTCCACTCTCTTGGCCCTTAAGTGGTCCGATGTAGGAAGAACTTGTTGTGATGCCCGCCAGAGAAAGTTGTGTACCTTTGCTGGAATTTTAAGATTCCATATGGTGCTCCAATACCTATCCATATTGTTCGAGTAGTTCTGGGAGAATTCCAACATCAACCTCTCATATCCACTACGAACCGAATAAAGTCCTTTATTATCGTGAACCCAATAAATTTGATCAGCTCTTCCATAAGAGCTCAAGGGGATTTTCAATATTTGTCTTTGTTCTTCTTCGCTAAAGAGATCAACAATAATATCATAGTCCCATCTATTTTCACCTGGTATAAACAATTGGTTTACAGTTGCTTCCTCAGCACCTGAGATTGGGTCGGATGTCACGAAACCATGATCTAGGTTAGGCAGCCAGTGATCGCGCTAAATTCTGACAGATGTGCCACTTTCTACACAAAATCTGTATCCATCTTGCAAGAGAGGTTGGGCAGCCAATATTCTTTTCCATACATAACTCGGATGATGTCCAAGTTTATTGGATGATTTTTTATTACTTATATTTGATGATTTTTAGTTAGTTTTGAAATTAATACTCTTTATATGCTCCATTGATTTTATCCGCACCTCTCCGACTTCTTTGATTAATTAAGTGGTTTTCCATTCGACCATCGAACACTTAACTATGAAGAAGACAAAACTAAGCAATTTCAAAAATGCTTTTGAAAGGCTTAAACTCAAAGAAATCAGTAGTCGTCATCATTTAATGATAAGACGACTACATAAAATTAGGAATGGCCACCAACAGGACGGGCATGGATAGGTTTAACACATTTATGTAGCTCCATTTGCCCATTTTTTTTTTCGTTCTAACAATATAAGGTTCATTGATTGATTGCTTTGAAAATAATTAATGTATACGAAAACTTGTAAAGATACGTACTGAGCTACTGAATGAGCATTCTATGTTATTTAGTGCATGCCACCATGACTTGAACTTTAGAGAAATGGACCCAATCTCAAAGTAAGGGTCTAGAATATCTTTCATGTGCCTTAAACATTTACTGTTCAAAATGCATAACCTCTTCGATACAAAAAAAAATTATTCGTCTCAATCAAACTTTTTGTCTTTGGATTTTACAGTTTGAAGATCAAAGTTTGGATAGTCATTGTCACCAGATGAAGCCCCTGTTTGGTTTTGATAAAAATTGAATTTTTAGTATATTTTGATAAAAGTCAATAACCTTGCATGGAAACAACTTGGGACTTGACGTCGCTATGTCTGAAGCAAATTGCATCTGCATATTCTCGATATGGAACGTGTTTCGAAATCCGCAGCTCTTTCTCCTATCCTGACTGTTCATCCTTCAACTCAGTTAACTCTTCTGATATTTCTTCATCTTTTTAGAGCATATACTATCTTCAAGGAGTTTCCACTAAATGAAAATGGGTCCTAGTTAAAGGTAGCTTGTTTTGCCCAGGAGGTGGCATTTGTTGTAATACTGGAAATGTATATTGTTTACTGAATTTGCCTTATACGCTAGTTTGGATTACATTCCTAACCTTGTCTAGTATAGATTGGGCAAAACAAACTTTTTTTTGCTTGGTGCCTGGGTTTTTGTGGCTATGATGTCTTCTGCTACATGCTTTCCCTCCAAATCGTATCTGTGAAAAATAAAAAGCAGTAAGTCCCTTGGATATAATTAATGTTAAGTGATAAAATCTCATATCGAATAAAAATGAAAATGTAGACTAACTTATAAGGGTTTGAGCTACTCGACATTATTAAAACTTGTGGTTCCATCTTAAAAGATAAACCTTATTAAGAGTAGTCCAAACGTTTATAAGTTGGTCTGTATTTTCATCTTTATTCGATATGAAATTTTATCCCTTAACAATTAATTCACATGTTTATAACTTCAATTGTGGTATAAGTATTATAATCATATGTGTGAGTGATTAAACAAGGATCATATACTTGTATCTTTATCTTCTCACGTGCCTGGGAATATATCACTCCACAACACAGATGGTTTGGTGAGAAGATAACCATGCCTTCGGTGACTTTATCCTCGTATTCCAAGCTCACACAACAACAGAAATCTACATTTACGGACTCATGCTTTGGCCATGTATGGTTATCAACAAGATTCGATTCCAACCTCGACTGATCGATCCATGTTTTACTTCTTTGGGAGGTAAAAGCTTCATGCTACAACTGGTCGTTCAAAGCTTCATGTATGCAGCATAAATACAGTAAAAAATTAGCGATAAGAGCAACTATCGCTGATTGTTTATTTGACAGTAAAATCATCTGAATGTTCTTGCTCTCAATAAAAATAAGGCAACCCTGGACTATGTGTTGGTGCAAAACCGTGGTGATGTTGCCATATGTTTTTACCATTGATCATGCCTACACGTTCTCAATGGATTCTTCTACATCTCAACATGGAACGTCGATGCTTGAACATGTACAGGTCAACAATCTAGCAAGTGCGTGATGCTGTATTGCCATTTGTCACCATGATCCCCAACTATTGGTACATGCTCGTGTTTGGAAGCCTTGTTGTGCTAAGGGCAAAGTTGTAGTTTCTCCTTTGGAAGTTAAACTATTATTCAATAGAATAATGGGTGAGTTCTAGTAGTTCACCAGTCACACACCATTACCTTTCTCATGTATTCATCAAATTTACGTGTTTCGAAAAATACATTTTGAGAAAATTCTTGAGTATTTCTTGCGGCTTTGTGACCATAACTTTGTCTCTGTACATTGCTAAAAATCATGAAAGAAACGTATATCACTTGCATTTTCTATAAGTAAATTATGCAATATATGTATACTTTGTAATCTTCGACAAGTGGATTTGCAAGCTCGATTGTGGAGTGTTTTGTGATAAAGTACAATGAATACTTACTCAATGATGCTTTTGATAAAATGTCATCAAATTTTGTCATGCAACTGCCGGCCATGACATTACTATGCAGTTGTTGAAAGTGAGGAAATGATCATACAAGCTTATGCAGGAAATAAGAAGGATGATGAAGATATCATCACTGACTATTCCATCTTCTCTCTCTAACATTTCTAGAATTTGCCAGGACTTCCTCTTTTGATTTGAGGGCTGGGAAATTTTAAAGATTTAATAAATAAAATTTATACCTACTATAAGCCAGTAGAATCTAGAGAATTCTATGCATTAGAATCCACCGTGACTACAGAATTTATCTAGAATTCAAGAAGCTCTATTCCATCGACATTGCTTGTATATATATATATATATATATATGTCTGATGTATGTATGTATGAGTGTGGTAATGAGAGAGAAACATAGAAGCATTGCAAGAGAAGATAGAAAATAAAGTGAGAAAGGTATGTAGTGTAGTGTCTTGGTCAGGAGTGTTCCCACATAATTAAAATAATAAGTGTGAGTGGAAGTGGAAGTGTCTAAGTGTCTTTTGTATAATTTTTTTTGTCTTAATAAAATTATCATTTGTGGATTTAAACTCAACAATTAGATATTAGAGTCAGCAATTGAGGATAGATTTTTGAGCTTCGGGTGTTTCTGTACAAAAGGAGATTGTGAAGCTTTTGTAAAGTTTACTTGATTACGATAAGGTAAATCAAGTCACGATGAGCGACCTATAAACGATAGGCGGTGTAAAGAAGTTCAATAATCAGAACTACACCACATGACAAACTTGCATTGAGTCGTATCTCCAAGGGCAATACTCATGGCAAATAATTGGTGGAAGTGACGTGATGCCACCAAAGGAGGCCGAAACTATGAAAAAATGGAGAATTAAAGTGGGGTAAGGCCATGTTCGTTATAAAGACAGCAGTTGAAGAAGAATTATTGGAGCATATAAGGGATAAAAACACATCAAATGAAGCATGAGACACTCTAGCCGCACTATTTTTGAAGAAAAATGATCTGAGGTTGTAGCTTCTGAAAAATGAGATACCCTCAATCACTCAAGGAGAACAAACGATTAGTCAATATTTTAATAAAGTTAAATCTCTTTGTCACGAAATTTCAGAATTAGATTCTTCAAGTAAGATTTCAGAGTTTAGAATAAGAAGAATAATTATATATGGTTTGAAACTCGAATTTAGAAGATTCATTGTTACCATACAAGGTTGGCCAGAGCAACCTTGATTGGTCAATGTCGAAAATTTGTTGGCCAACCAAGAAACGTTAACCAAACAAATGTTAAGAATCTCAATAAAGAAAGAAGAAGAAGAAGTACTATATAGTTCTAAAGGAAGAGGTCGACTTCGTCGACAAAATAATAAAGAACTAAAAGAAAATAAACATGAAGAAGGTTTTGTAACAAGGAGAGCCAAACAAAGTCGTGACAAGAGAGGTTAGTCGTCTAAGGGATTTCAACGAACTAATGACTCGTGTTTTGTATGCGGCAAATGAGACCATTATGCTATAGATTGAAGATTCAAGAAAAAGCTAGTAGAGGCAATATGACAACCTCTAATGTGCAAGAAAAATATAATAGTGAAGACGAATGAAATGTTTTAGCATCGATTGCACTAACGGAGTATACTCAAGGAGAGGAATGCAGTACATATATACCTCGAGGAAGAATCGACACTAGTGATGATGCTCCCTGGACGAATAGATTATGAAAGTGATTGGATCGTCGACTCTGGGTGTTCCAACCACATGATAGATGATAAAGAGAAACTGCAAAATATATCAGAATACAAGGGATGCTGAATGGTGCCAACTGCCAACAATTAAAGATTGCCAATAGCCTACATTGGTAAGACAGTTATCACACTTCGTTTTAGTCCTAGTCAGGTGCAGTTACAAGACGTCTACCACGTCTCAGGAATGAAGAAAAAATATCCTATCAATGGCGCATCTAACTTCATCAGGTAACTACGTTCTGTTTGGACCAAAAGATGTCGAAGTGTATCAAAATATAAAATTTTTGGGTACACCAATAATTGAAGAACGAAGATTAGAATCTATCTACTTAATGTCAATAAAGTTTGCATATGTAGATAAGACTCGAAAGAATGAGATAGCAAATTTATGGCATTCAAGACTATGACATGTGAGTTATCATAAATTGAAAGTGAAGATAATGAAGTCGATGCTTAAGGGTCTTCTTCAACTCGAGATCAGAGATGATATGGTATGTGTTGACATCAATATGGTAAAGCACATCAGCTACCATATCAGGAGTTAAGTTGTAGAGCAAAGCAACCATTGGAGATGATACACTCTGATGTGTTTAACCTGTCAAGCAACTATAAAATCGAGGGATGCGCTACATGGTGACATTCATCGAAGACTTTTCAAGGTACGTTTGGATTTTCTTTATGAAAGAGAAATCTGAGACATTTTTAAAGTATAAGGAGTTCAAAGAAAAATGCGCTACATGGTGACATTCATCGATAACTTCTTAAGATACGTTTGGATTTTCTTTATGAAAGAAAAATCTGAGACATTTATAAAGTTTAAGGAGTTGAAACAAAAAATAGAAGGAGAAGTCGAAAATAAGTTTGATGCATACGCACGGATAATGGGGGAAAGTATACATCAGGAGAATTCTCCCAGTACTTACAAGAACATAAGATATACCACCAATTGACATATCCAAAAACGCCACAACAAAATGGTGTAGCCAAAAGAACGAATTAACACCTTACAGAAACGTGTCGAAGTATGCTACAGACAAAGAATATGCTAAGAAGGTTTTTGGTAAAGCGCGTGAGAACATCACATATGATCAACATGCTACCACAACCAGGGCTGGGGTTCATGTCACCATTTGAGAAACTGTATAAAATGAAGCCAACTGTAAGTCACTTTCGTGTCTTTGGTTGGGTCTATTATGTGTTTGTGTCTGATCACTTAAGAAGCAAGTTTGATAAGAAGGAAATCAGATGTATATTTGTGGGGTGACATTCAAAGAAAAGGATGGAGACGCTGCAACCTTACAATTGACCGTTGTTATACATTAAGGAATTTAGTGTTTGACGAAGCATCTTCGTGGTGGACGCTATAGAGGGCGTAGCTACCAGATTCAAAGGAAATAAACGACAAATTACAAGATGAGATCACATAAGCACAACCCAATCTTGAGGAAACAAAAGATATACAAGAATCAAGTGACGAGAAGGAGCCAACTATCGCAATACAAAATCTTTGGCAAACAAATATGTATCGGACAACACCAGAAGAGATAAGGCCGAATCAACAAGAGAAGGTTGGGGTAAGAACAAGCCCACACCATAGTCGAGAAAATCAACTAGACAGAGAAAACCAAACTCCAAGTATACTAATGCAGTAGTAGAAGAAGACGGTAGTACCAAAGAGCCAGAGACCTTTAAAGAAGCAATCGACCACAAGGAGTGGAGAAAGGCAATGAAAGAAGAGTTCATGACTCTAAAGTAAAATGAGATTCAGGATTTGATGCCAATATCTAATGAAGTAAAGCCTATATCTTGCAAATGGGTATACAAAGTAAAAAGACATCCAGATGGATCAATCGAAATATACAAAGCTCGGCTAGTAGCTCGTGGATTTTTACAACAATATGGTCTGGACTATGATGAGACGTTTAGTCCAGGGACAAAGATCACTACAAGATGAGTACTAATAGTGTTAGCAGCAAGCAAGTCTTGAAAGTTGTGGCATATGGATGTAAAAAATGCGTTTTTCCATGGAGAACTTGATCGAGACATTCATGGAGCAACCAAAGGGATTCGAGAATAAAGAAAAGACAGGATATGTTTGCAAGGTAAAAAATGTTCTCTATGGATTAAAGCAGATACCACAGGCATGGTAAGGTAAAATACCTTAATTCTTAGTTCAAAGTGGAAAATTGATAGCACCAGCAGACTCGAGCTTATTCATCAAAGCACAAAGTGAAAAACTAACAATAGTGCTACTTTACTAGATGATCTCATCATCATTGGAGACAATGCCAATGAAGTCAAACGAACCAGTATGAATCTATCAGTGAGATTTCAAATGAAAGAGCTTGGAGAGAACAAAAGAAGGGTTATTCTTGTGCCAGAATAAATATGCCAGCGATCCCTTACAAAAGTTTGGTATGATCAATTGCAAACCAATATCGACACCAATCGAGATTAACTCCAAGTTATGTACAGATGAAGGCAATGATTTGGATAATGCAACCATGTATCAACAACTGGTGGGGATCTTAATATACTTAACATTAACATGACTTGACATCGCATATGCAGTTGGGATAGCAAATAGATTTATGGAAAAGCCAAAGAAGCCACACTTTGAAGTAGTGGGATGGATCTTAATGTATGTAAAATGAACAATTGATTGTGGACTCTTTTACAAGAAAAATAAAGATTGCAAGGTTGTTGGCTATTGTGATGCGAACTATGCTGGATGTCGAAATACACGAAGATCAACAACTGGTTACGTGTTCAACCTAGGGTCAGCTGCAGTTTCATGGTGCGGTAAGAGACAACCAACAATATCTTTGTTAATCGCAGAATATAGAACAACAGCAATGGCAGCTCAAGAGAGTACATGGCCAACACAATTAATGAAGGATTTACATCAATCAGTAAGTTATGCAAAATTATATTGTGATAGCCAATTAGTTATTCGTCTAGAAGAAAATCCAGTATGTTACGCAAGAACGAAGCACATTGAAGTGCACTATCACTTCATCGGAGGAAAGGTGCTTAAAGGGGAGATCGACTTGAAGCATATCAATACTGAAGAACATGTCGCAGACGTTTTAAAGAAAGGACTCAGCGCTTCAAAATTCGAAGAGTTTCGAACACAATTGAAGATTATAATCTAGTATGTCACGCAAGAACGAAGCACGTTGAAGTGCACTATCACTTCGTTAGAGGAAAGGTGCTAAAAGGGGAGATCGACTTGAAGCATATCAATACTGAAGAACATGTCGCAGACGTTTTAACGAAAGGACTCAGCGCTTCAAAATTCGAAGAGTTTCGAACACAATTGAGGATTATAAAAAGAGGCGATATATTTGAAATAGCAGATGTATTGAACGAAGGATAGGGTCCTTCAAATTTTCAGACACGATTGAGCGCGACTAAAAAAAAGAGTTAAAATGAAAAGTCGATGCTGAAGGGGAGAACTGAAGATATCATTATCGACTATTCCATCTTCTCTCTTTGACATTTCTAGAATCTGCTGGGACTTCCTCCATTGATTTGAGGGCTAGGGAATTCTAGAGATTTAATAAATAGATTTTATACCCACTACAAGCCAGTAGAATATGGAGAATTCTATGCATTAGAATCCACCGGCACTACAAGATTTATCTAGAATTCAAGAAGCTCAATTCCATCGACATTGCTTGTGTATGTATATGTAAGAAGTGTGAGTGGAAGTGTCCAAGTGTCTTTTGTATAATTTTTTGTCTTAATAAAATTATCTTTCCACCAATGACCACCCAATTTTGATTTTGTTTCACCATAACCAACCAACTTCATACTTTTGTTTTAGATTGGCCATCCAATTTGATTTTGTTTTGCCATGGTTCAAATTTAGTTTCAGTTTAGTCACTCGATAATTTTATTCAATATAATTAAATTGGAGGCCAATGTAAAACAAAGTATAAAGTTGGGTGGTTATGGTGAAACAAAATCAAAATTGGGTGGTTAACGTAATACTAAACCCATGTTTGGTCCAGATTAAAATCTGATTTTAATCCAAATCAAAGTCAAACAATCAATATCAATTACATTTTCCATGGGTCCTACAACTTTTCAACCACACATTTCAAAAATTTCTATCACAATCTACTAAAAATCTAATTTTAATACCCTCCAAACACCATCTAAGTATGAAATTGGGTGATCATTGATGGATTTAACTCATTTTCACGAGAAAAGGTACAAATAGGAATGTTAATTGCAAGATTCAAAAGATAAGTCCTGATTTTGCAATGAATTAGTAAGATAACAACCTTTTACATCAACTAACTATTTAAAAATGAACCTTAACTATACAAATAATAGTTAAATTTTATTTCCTTTCGATTCATATAAAAATTAATAAAAAATAAAGTAAAACCCCCAAATGTCAGAACAGAGTGATTCACAGCTTCCATCCAGAGGAGATTTTCTCTCAGAATCCTTCTCTTTTTTTCCATAGTGGTCAGTATCTTATTTTGATTATATAGTATGTATATTTATGGATAAGGTTATTTAAAGTATATGATAATTGATGAATTGTGGTTTATTCTTGTTAATATCTGTGTTCCTTTTGTATTTAATCCCTGGATTTTGTAAGTTGGGTTTAATTGTTCTTCAGTCGATGTTTTGAAGAATTTTTGGGAGATTTCAGAGATTTAATACTCTAAAAATAGGAGCTATTTTAAGTTCTTGGGTTTCTGGACTTCGAATTTGACCACCTTTTCTCTGAATTCCATATTTTTAGCGTCTGGGGAGGTGCATATGTGCTTTGAAATTTTGGGGCTTGATGATCGACACCGTTTCTTATCAAACAAAATACTGGATGCTGCTAATCAATCCCTTTTTTATATATTTAATAATCAAATTAGATCAATATTTTGTGAATTTTGTTCCCCTCGGTTGATTTGATTTAATCACTTTACGGAATGTGAAAACTTTGCTTTGAATTTTGGGGCTTGATGATTGTCACCGTTTCAGATCATTCAAATTACTGGATGCCACTTATCAATCCGTTCTTTTATATATAATCACATTATGTTACTAATTTTGAATTTTGTTACCCAGAGTTGATTAAAAATGAAGAGATTTAATCACTTCTTGCCTCTTGGAATGTTAAAACTTTAATTTCAGTAATGTGAGCAGTTTAATAGTTGTGACTTCAATTTGATGGACAAATTTTGATGATACCAGTCGAGAGCATGCCAAAAGTTCCAGATAAATCTCTACCGTGTCTTATATTGATGACTATTTTTTTTTTTAACTTTCTTTCTTCCTTTTTGCATAGATTATAAGAAACTTGGTAAAAAGGAGATATCTCATTTGATCTTTTTTCTTGGAATTTTAACGTGTGCTTCCACCCTCAAAGCAGAGGAGATTTTGCGCATTTGAAGTTGGGAAGAAAACCATGTAACATTCTAACATCCTTGTCTTTTGTGATTGAACAGATTCAAGGAAATGTGCCTGGTGATTGAGTCATTTGAGTATGTAGCTGTGTTTAAGATTCAAGTGACTGCACATGATTAGAAGCTTAAAATTAGATAGCGAATAAGAATGGGAAGTTGAAGATTTTCTATCAGTCTCTTATCACATGCTTTCTGTGAGTAGTTTTTGGTTGTTGGTGAACTTGGATGGCTTTTCCTGTACTGGGACTTCACCATAAAAGCCAAATGAACAAAATGCCTTTGTTAATGGAGCGAGCAAATACGTTTAATGATAATGAGCATGTTATTGACATAACTAATCGCAGTGATGCTTCCTCGTCTAGCACGTCTGATGAGCAGCGATCCAACGGCTTGGAGCAGCAGAGGAGTGAAGATCAGGGTTCTACTAGTGCGAGGGTTCAGGTTTATCAACCTCCACTTTTTTCTGGTAGTGGATCAAACTCGAGGAGCGCACCACTTATTCGGAGAGGAAATAGCCGCCGCCGAAGGAGTCCCTTAAATTCCGGTTTATGGATATCTTTTTTGCTAGTATTAACAGTGAGTCAAATTATTGCCGCGATTGTTGTCTTGTCTTTGTCAAAGCACGAGCATCCACATGCTCCATTGAAGGAGTGGATTGTGGGTTATGCATTGGGTTGTGTAGGAATTCTTCCTCTTTTATATTGGCGTTTCCGACATCGAAACCAGGGTTCAGACCAGGATACAACTCATCGTCGTCACGATTCTTCTCAGAACGGCTATTCCGCAATTTCTTCAACTAGAATAGTTTTGGAGCGGGAAGATCGTTGGGCCACTGGTACTGCATCTAGAGGCGGCCAAAATGTAGGAATACCAAATTCAAGGTATCTGTTAATATTGAAAAAGTTTATTCTTGTTAACTCTATTCCCTTCTTCTTATATCGTAATCTGCAAGACTTGTTTTATTTGGACCTCAGTAAGTATTGGAGATTTCCATTGTAGCTACTATATCTGTTTTTTGACGAACAAATGCTTGCTTCTCCGGTTGTTTTCATTTACTTTGTGCTTTTAGTTCATAGAGTGAAATTTGTTAGGGATTTATTAACTTGATGGTTTATAAATTTGTTAAGCTTCGTGAGTTGTGACAATGTACCAGCACTTTGGCATGCTAACAATTCAAATATCTAATGATGAAAAAAATTTGCTTGATATTCTTTTCCAGTTTTTCGTCAAAAAAGTAGGCAGACCATGTAAATTCTTGTCTCTGTTAGTTTTCCATTCTCTATTTCTCAACAGCTACACCTCCGTTGGGAAGAATTTATAAATATATAGAAATTAGTGTTGGATAAGTGGATAGCACTTTTGGGTCCATTGGAATGTATGGTTGAAAATGAAGTTTAACCATTTATACATGATTTATAAATTTTGCCAACAGAGGCTTAAAAATCATTTCAGGGGTGAGTCAATTCTTTTCACTGCATTTATCTAAAACTTTTTATGCGTCAAATCATAACACTATGGCATCACAAGGAGTGGACTTGCTGAACTTTTGGTCAGAAATGTTCCATCATTCGTCTTCATTAACAAGTTTACTGTAGAATGAGAGCTAAATACTCTAATCGAATTCGTACAGACTCAAAGCCCTGGTGGAGTACTTCAAGATGGCTTTAGATTGCTTCTTTGCCGTTTGGTTTGTAGTCGGCAATGTGTGGGTTTTCGGAGGTCACGCGTCATCTGCTGAAGCTCCCAACTTGTACAGGTAGTTTGATGCACATTCTAACATAGCGGCCTCATTCCAGTATTTGTGTAGTTCTTTTATATACTTTGGTGATGTATTTATTTACTTACAGGTTATGTATAGTTTTTCTTACCTTGAGTTGTATTGGCTACGCTATGCCCTTTATTTTGTGTGCGGCAATCTGCTGCTGCCTGCCTTGTCTAATTTCAATCCTCGGCATCAGAGAGGATTTGATTCATTATCGAGGGGCCACTCAAGAATTAATTAATTCTCTGCCAACTTATAAGTTTAAGGTGATGAACAAGAATAGCAGTGACAAGGAGTGTAACCCAGATGCAGATGAAGGTGGGATAGTGGCTGCTGGAACCCAAAAAGAGCGTTTGATATCAGGAGAGGATGCGGTAAACTTCATTTTCTTTCTTATCTTGGATTCTCTGATTTTTATCTTCATTTTTTTTTTTTTTTGTCAATGTAAGAGGTATGAAATCATTTATGTTGATGGATGAATACCAGCATATTCTGATATAAAACATAAAATATGTAATTAGCCTTCTATGCTTACCTCCATTCTCTAATGCATAAATTCCAAAACAGGATATCAATCAAAGCGATTGTCAAGTAAAACTTCTGAAAGCTTGGGAAAGTTTCTGCAAGCTGAATGATTATTTACAATTTTATTTGCTGACTCATGAAATATCTATAATTTGAATCTGCTGCAAGGATTTAGAAATTTTGTTGTCTGTTAAGGCTTTGATGTTGTGAATCTAATCTTTTCTTCTCCTGAATATCAAACTGATAGATGCTAACTGTGAAATCTTAAGTTGATGGGAAGTGTTGCTTAATTATTAATTTTTCTGCGATGTAGTTCTGAACAATACTCTTCTTGTAAAAGGATATTCTAATGCTTTTGTTATTGTACTTCGTAAATATTGGATATTAGATTTGGTTTGCTCTCATTTTGTGCCCTTTGAAAATGGAAATTAGATAGTCGATATTGATGTGAGTTTTGGAATATATATTTTCCGAAGCAATTTCAATTTGGTAGGATACTTGTATCCATTTTCTATGTGATTCCAATTCATTAATGAGGTTCCAACTAATTTGTATTGTGTTCTATAGATTTGCTGCATTTGCTTGGCGAAATACTTGAACAATGACGACCTGAGGGAGTTGCCTTGCTCGCATCTCTTTCACAGGGAGTGTGTAGACAAGTGGTTGAAGATCAACGCCTCCTGTCCACTTTGCAAAGCTGAGGTTGACGAAGATCATATTGAGTCCACCGACTGAAGCGACTGCTTGCAACAAAGAGAGCTTGTTACATGGACAGTCAAGTTTGTTCCCCAGTTCATCCCTGACATAGTTTTGGGAATAAGATTATCTACTCATGCGAATGAATTAACACCATCATATAGTATAAATATGAAATCTTGTGGAATTGCTCGTGTAATGTTTTGACTAAAAAACTATTTCACCATTGCAAAGGATATGACTCTCCTATATGAAGTTTGGGATCATTCTTCTCTTTTACTTTTCTTGATAGAAAGAATATGAAGATCGTTTTCGCAGCCAATAAAAGTCTTTGGATAATGCTAAACGAACATAAGCCTTGACCTAATTATGTCTTTTGTGTTACAATTGTCTATTATATCCTTATCTCTATATTTTAATTG